TGTGCTCCCTGGTCCTGAGGCTCTGATTGGCCTTGGGGCAGGGGAGTGGCAGGGTCTCTGCGGACTGGATCAACCCACTTGGTGGGCTGGATCCGGTCTGCGGAGCCCCTTTGGCCCACCGCTGCTCTAAGATATAGGCTTACAGTCACTTCACAGCCCTGAAATGTCATTCCTTAGCTTCCTCTTTGCTTTTCCATCCCACTGCTTTTTCCATCATGCGGGTGCCTTCCCCTGTATTCCCACAGCGCGTGAGGGAATGTTCCTGCTCTTTGTTCACAAAGGTGGGGATGGAGCGGGAGCAAGGGTAGAGTGGAAGCATGTAAGAGTGTTGCTGAACAACCGTAAGGGGTGAAATATCGTGAGGTGGCTTGTAGGTTTTAGTGCATGAGATGGGATCTGGATATGTTACATGGCTGGTTCTGGCTGAAGAATGTGAGGCAGAAAGGCCTTCTCTCTCTCTCCCACATTCAGAGGGAAGGCTGGTGTTTAGAAGGTTTTTAACCCTTGAGAAATGAGCTTCCGGAACAGCCTCCCAATGGGGAGAATGGGGGTGAACAACCAAACTGGCATTAAGATGGACTTGGGTACATTTGGCAATGAGATGCTATGATGAGGATTGCCTGCATCAGTAGAGGACTGGATTCTGTCCTCCAGGAGGTCCGTTCAGGTCTCTGGTCCCCAACTCCTATTGCACAGCCATTTCTGCTGTGTGACTGGTGGGACACTTATACGCTCTCTTCATGGCTTCGTGTACATGGACCAAGGCACGGTCAATGACAGATTAAGGGATGTACAGTTTTGGGGGCATTTGCCAACTGAATCGTGTCTCCAGCTTTTTAAAGGATTTTATCTCTGTTTACTCCGGAAGAATCCTTTACAAATGAACAACTAAGCCGGTGAATGCTGCTCCCTTCCACAAGTGTATAATTGATTATTTCTCTGTGTTTTATCTTCCCTGTTCAAATAAAACATTAAAAATATGCACAGGGACAACTTGGTCCTGCCTTCACTGTGTGCAGTCAAATGGAGCTGCATGCCAATGTCTAAGACAGGTCTGGGGAAAACATGGCCCCGGGGGCGGGATCCGGCCCATGGACCACCCTGCTGGGACCCGCAGGCCTGCAGCTGCCAAGGTTTACAATGCAGTCCCAATCTTTCCTTGCTCTGCAAGGAGGGAGGAAGCTTTGTGTGATCTCCCCGCTCCCGCCCAATCCTCAGCTCCTATTGGCCAGAAACAACTGGTCAATAAGAACTGGCCTCAGCCAAACTCTGAGCTCCTGTTGGCTGGAAACAGCCGGCCAATCGGAGCTAAGAGATTGGCCTACGGAATGGGGGCAGCATAAGCCTCTTCCCCTACCCAGAGCTGAGAGCCAGGTGGAGGGAGCAGCCTGCAGTTTCAAGCGGTCTGGGGCTGCAGCAGGCAGGGATCCCAGCTTGCCCTGGGCGTGCTGCAGGCTGGGAGATGCTTAGGTAAGCACTTCCCAGCCAGAGCCTGCCTGTGGCACCTCTGCCCCTCCTGCCCCCCAACTCCCTCACCAGCCAAACCCTGTACAACCCTCTGCCCCAGGTCACAACTCCCTCCCAGATCTTGCACCCACTTCTACACCCGTTCTGCACCCAAACACCCTCCCAGACCCTGCATCCCATTCCCTTGACCCAGGTCACAACCCCCTCCTTCACTCAAACTGTCTCTCAGACCCCATACCATCTCCTGCACCCCAGTCCCTTACCCCGTGTGTCCTCCTGTACCCACCCTCCATGCTAGACCCCACTTCCCCTCCACAGAAAAGTGCGGCCCTTAACATGTTCCAAAATCTTGGCGTGGCCCCTCACCAAAAATTGACCATCCCTGGTCTAAGAACAGAATTTGGCTCCCACTGAAGTACACTCAGGACAGTTTCCTATTGTATGAAATATCATGGTTCAATATATTTGAATTTGATCCTGGTTTTATTTAATCATGTTACTGGATTTAGAGTGTAACCGGTATATCTAGCGCTATGCAAAGATTTTTTTTCAGCTGTTCAACACCTGATAATGCTAGTGCTGCTGACATGCAGCTGAGAATGGGCTGCTTAGTTGGCTTATTATCTAAAAATCATTACTATTTGCTGCAGATGGAGTAAGCACCCAGATATTGTCTCCCTCCTACAGGTACTCTATTAGCTGCTTCATGAATTTAAATGACATTTAAGATACAAATCCAAAGAAGCAATTAGTAACTTTTGATTCATGTTTTACCAGCTGGCTAGATTAAATCTGATCAATTTTATTTTGGGCAGATAAGAATTCTGATGGAAGAAGAGTGAGAAAAATCAATGCACGCAAAATAGCCAAATAGATTAAAAGAGTAATTAACTTATTGATTAAAAGTTTAATGGCAGATAGCAAAGGCCTCTCTGAATCCTCTGGTAGGATGGATGCAGAAAACCAGTTGAGCAGAGTATAATTGTACTTATATTATCCAAGTAAAGATTCAGCAGTACCAAACATCCATGCTCATGTTTTCTCCTGCTGTTGTATACAGGGCAGAGCTCAATATATATGCTCAGTAGCCCAAATAATTACATTTGATGAAGGTGGAGTCAAAGAATAAATTTAATATAGGATTATTAGATATGGTAAAATGGCCAACTTTTTTTTGAGGAGGGGAGGGTGGGAAAGGTAGTTTATTCTTCCCTGCTAGGGATGTTAGTGACTAGTCAAGTAGTCGATTATCCTATAAGAAAATGTTGTCTCTATGGGAGGGAGAGAGAGGAGCAGGAGCCGGTGCTGGAGGACCAGCTCCTGTTTGTGGTGGACAGGGCTGTCTGCCATGAACAAGGGCTACTGGACTCAGCGTGAGCTTGGACCAAGAAGTCCCGGCACATGCTGATCGCTGCTCCTCTGCATTTTAAATGTAGTAAGAACCTCCGCCATGGCTCTGCACAGCAGTGCTTATCAACTAATCGTAAATCGTATAGTCGATACAATCTGTGTCACCTGCTATACGATTAGCCAGATAATTGCATTTTAACATCCTTACTCTCTACCTAGATTTTCTCTAAGTGTTACTCAGGTTTTGCAGGAGTTTTGGGCATTGGTGCCACCTTGGTGTGTCTGTTCTCTGTGTGTGGCACAAAGTTGTGTTAGCGCAAAGTCTTTGAGCTAATATGGGGGTATCTGTGTTATACAGGAGGTCAGATTACGAGGTCTGACAATCCCCTCTGGCCTTAAACTCTCTCAATTGGGATTCCTCTTACAGGCCCTCCCTGGCCCATGTGAATTGTTTCCTGTTTATATATTTATTTGAACTGATTCACATCTTTTAATGAAGTTTTTGAGTTCAAAATGAAAGTTTTCAGCAGAGTGCTTTGAATGAAAGTCTTCTGGTTTTCCTCAAACCAATAGAGCCTCAGCTGGTGTATTGTTGAGTTTTCAGCACCACATTTTGGGAAAGTTGTGGACAAACTGGTGAAGGTCCAGAGGAGAGCAACAAACATGATTATAAGTGTAGGAAACACAAGGTATGGGGAAATATTGAGAAAACTGGGTTTATTTAGTCTGGAGGAGAGATACCTGAGGAAGGAGCATGATAACATGAATCTTGAAATATGTAAAAGCTTATTAGAAAGAAGAGGGTGATAAATTGTTCTCCTTAACCTTGGAGAATAGGACAAGAACCAACGGGCTCACATTGCAGCAAGGGAGGTTTAGGTTGGACATGAGGGAAAACTTCCTGTCAGGGACTGGGATAAATTGCCTAGGGAGGTTGTGGAATTTCCATCATTGGAGATATTTAAGAGCAGGTTAGACAAACACCTGTCAGGGATGGTCTTAATATTTCATCCTGCTTTGGTGCAGGGGACTGGAGGACAGGACAAGGAGTAATGGGCTTAAAGTGCAGCAGGGGAGGTTTAGATTGGACATTAGGAAAAAATTCCTAACTGTCAGGGTGGTCAAACATTGGAATAAATTGCCAAGGGAGGTGGTGGAATCTCCCTCTCTGGAGATATTTAAGAACAGGTTAGATAGACATCTGTCAGGGATGGTGTAGACGGAGCTTGGTCCTGCCTTGAGGGCGGGGGGCTGGACTCGATGACCTCTCGAGGTCCCTTTCAGTCCTATTATTCTATGATTCTATAACCTATGAGTGTCCCTTCCATTGTGGTGTTTCCATGACTCTGTGAAACTTTTGGTTTCAAATGATTTTTTTTCTGCTTTTTTGTCAATGAACAATAGACAGTTTAAATGAAAACACAGTTTTCTCCCCTTGGGAATCAGTCTTTTTCTCAACAAGTCCTGATATTTGCACAATAATTCCTGGAGCTGATGGACATACTATGCTGCATGCTACTGCTGCTTGGTGTGTGCCACTATCTGAAAACTGATGGGCATGGCTCAGAGTTGTTGGAATTGCTTTGCATTCCTTCATTCAGCCCAAAACTGAGGCAAAAATGAAAGACTGGTTAAAATGTTGCACTGTGCTTTTCGTAGCCTGTGCTTTTCCTTGACATCAGCCTACACATGGTCACTTGTGGCTAAAAAGTAATTACATTATAACCTCCATAATCTGCATGTCCCTAACCTGGGAACACCGCTGGTTTGGACCATGGCAGGTGGAGGAGGAAATGTTTTTACATTCTGTCGCTCTCCTCCCCACCCCCATCTGAGGGAATGGCAGTAACACGACGCACTCCGCTGAGGTTTTTCCCTGCCAATCCCATGGTGGTGGGGGCGGGGTGGGGGGAGCGCTGGGACTGGTGGGGAACACGGAGTGACAGGTAAAGGAATCAACCTCCGACCTCATCCCTCCCTCCCTTCCTTCCTGGCCTGGCAAAATCTTTAATCTGGCAAACCCTGTTTTCCAGGGTTACCGGATTAAAGAGGCTCAAATGTATTAGAGAAATCTGCCTGTGAATGACAGAACGCAAGCTTGTTGCAGGTGGATAGCTTCAATAACGTCCTTTAGGGCAGCTCACATAGCACCTCATGTGTAGCAAAACGTACTCTACATGGATGTTAATTCACTTTCCTGCTGTTTCTCTTGAAGGCTGGTGGGATAGCTGGTATGTGCGTTGACTTGATACTGTTCCCTCTGGACACCATCAAAACCCGACTGCAGAGTCCCCAAGGGTTTAAGAAGGCTGGTGGCTTTCGTGGCATCTACGCTGGCGTTCCTTCCGCTGCTGTAGGATCCTTTCCGAATGGTAAAAACTGGGTGGACTATGCTTGTGTTAATCCGTGGTCTTCCCTGGGGCATAGTCAAGTATGTGTACAAGATGATCCAGGCTCTGATCCCAGGGGGAGGAGTAGAAGGCAATTGTTAGAGAACTTCCTCCATGCTAGCCTCTCTCATTCAGGCAGGCACATCTGCCCTTGCACCCCATTCATCTCACTCAGTCAGCCTTCGTCCCCGTGTATCCTGCCCGCCACCTCTGTCCACATGTGTCCTGTACCCTTCAGTCAGTTCCCTTTGCCCATCCCCATGTGTCCCTGCACCCCTTGTCCCCATATGTGTCTCTACTCCCGCTCAGCCACTTCCCTCCCCCCTGTGGCCCTGTGCCTCCACTCTCATTCAGTCTCTTGTCCCAGTCCTCCCCCATTAGCCCTTATTAGCCCCTATCTGACCCTCCCAGCAGCCCCATGCTATCTATTTTCCCATAGCCCCGTCTCTGGATCTGGCCTGACGGGCACCCTGAAGAAGGCACCACAGGCTCTTTCTCTTCCCTAACTGGCCAGGAGTGGCTGCTTTGTTCTAGCAGTGCAGCGCCCTCTGATGGACAAAACATGGAACGGCAGCAACTTTCCAGCAGAAGCTATTTTCGCTGTCCCCCTCCCCCAAGTAAAAACATTAATTACACACATGCTTTTGGGCTCAGAATTCTGCCCTGGGCTCTTTGGTCCAGAAACATCTGTGCTCCTGCCAGATGTTGCCGGATCAGAGAGTCCTGGTTTACGGAGGTGTAATCTGTAGTACTAGTGACTGAAGGAAGAGCTTTGCAATTCCTGAGATCTGTTTGTCCTCTTCCTCTTTGCCAAATGAAGAGCAGAGAGGCTGTCACGTTTGTCAATGTTAAAGTAGTGGACCAGTCTACTGACACCTTCAACTGTTCAATGTCCTTCAAAAGATGATATACAAAAATTCTGTTCTTTATCTCTCTGCTTCTGTTATCGCCATTGGAGGCGATAAGCATCTTTTGATTAACTGCAGAAGGCAATACAACACAGTCCTTTTGCACAATTAAAATCTGTTCCCCCCATGAGACATGGCAGCTTTTGCAGGATTTCCACCTCTCACATCTGAGCTGTGATTTATCTCTTGCTGCAGTGTAAGACCAAAACCTTAAAATATCTTGAAGAATAAGAGTAACCCGTAATGTGATAGGAAGCAAATGCAAGACGCCCCGTTAATACCCCCAAACTGTTGCCATTTCAGTGCCTGATTTCCTCCGCTTCCATTCTCTAATAGTACATAGGTACACTTGGATTGGTTTTCTGTGTTATGAGATTAGGTCTGTTACAAAATAAAACTGTTCCTTGCCCATTGGATTACAGTGTAATGAAGGTTTCAAGCTCCCAGGAGGTTTTCATTTTCTTTCTGTCAAATGCATTGCTCCTGCTTCTGGAGCTAAACTCTAAAATTGGAGGCAGATTCTAGCTGGGAAGGTGCTGTAATCTGATTTAAATGTTAGCAGTGTTGCTGAAGCTGATTTGTAATATCAATTGGCCATGGTACAATAAAGCCCCACCCTCGAAAAAGTTCAGACATGATTTCCCAAAAACTAATCAATGAGAGGCACTGTTTAGCCTCTTTGCTGTTCTAATGTTGTGGTTGTAAGAATGGGCTGAAAATGTGGGCCCATTGAAGTCAAAGGGGCTATGTCTACACTGGCAGCTTCTTGCACAAGAACTGTTTTCTTTGCACAAAAAGTCTTCCACAAGAGCGTGTCTACATTGGCATGTGCTTTTGCGCAAGAGTGTCTAAGGCAGTGTGGGTGCTCTCTTGCGTAAGAAAGCTTTGATGGCCATTTTAGCTGTAGGGGTTTCTTGCGCAAGAAATTCATGTTGCCTGTCTACACTGCCCTCGAGGGCTTATTCCTCGCGGGGAGAGGAATAACTCTTCCGGAAGAAGCCCTGTTTTCCGATGCTGCACTGTAAATTTACTTGCACAAGAACGTGCGTGCAGTGTAGATACCCGGTAAGTTTTTGCACAAGAACAACTGTTCTTGCACAAGAACCCGCCAGTGTAGACGTAGCCAGGGAGTTTTGATCAGGAGTAAAAGAGGATTGACCATGGAAACATGTTGGTAAAAAGGTTAGTACTATTTGGGGGAGTGTCTAGTCTCTGGATTATAGAATTCGGCTATTTTCTGGACCGTAACCATAAACAAGATTTGTCTGGATTCTGCCAGCAATCTGCTAGTGCACACTAGAGGGATAATTTGATGACTGAACTTTTTTAAAAATTGCAGCTGCTGCCTTTTTTGTCACCTATGAATATGTGAAATGTATGCTGCACACCGCCTCCCCTCCATACCTGACTCCAGTAACACACATGGTGGCCGCCTCCTGTGGAGAAGTCGTAAGTAACAGCTCTGTCTACTGCACATTCCTAGCAAGCAGAGAAGGGGAATACGGAAGTCTTATGAGAATTGAATTTTAGTGGAAATTTTTCATTTGTTGATTCTAAGTAGCAGGTTTAACAGGCCTGCTCTTTCCTAGGGATCTGAATGGTTAACTGGTTAACCGTTTAACTGGTAAACATCACCGTTACCGGTTGATACTTACTGGTTACCATTAACTGACTGGGGCAGGAGCAGCCCCCCCACCATGAGCACGGGGCTACTTCAGCCCTGTGGGGCCCACCTCAGGCAAGGGGGCGCTCCAGCCAGCTGAAGCAGCCCCTGTCTGGTGCGCCCAGCCTGAGCGCGCTGTGGGCAGGAGTGTTCCTGCCCATCAAGAGCAGCCCCCAGCAGCCTCCCCGCCTGTCCCCGTGTGATCAGTTAACCAGTTCAACGTAACATTCAAGTGGTTAATTCATTAAACAGGCTTTTACACTCCTTGCATTGGTTGCAGAGAGAGTTTCCCAGCATGTGTTCTAGAAACTTCTGAGGTTTGTTCTGTTTTAAATGAGGCGTTGGCATTAAAATCTCATTGCGCGGGCATGTTAGTGATAGGAAGGGGAGGCTGTGCTGTGAAAAGTCCAGAGGGTCGTTATTTCAGTGCTGCCCCGCTGTGGCGCGGCGAGGGGCCTTCCTCCACCTCACCAGCTCTAGTCCGGGTCAGCCAGCTGGGGGAAACCTTGAAGCTACAGTGTCATCAGAAATGGGTAGAGTTGGGTCTCATTTGAAAGGCTTGTCCAGGAATGCGACTTTGCTATCTTGTGCTCCAGACTGTTTCTCCCACTGACATGGTGGTACCAAACATGACACGGCTCTCTAGCTGTGAACAAGTTTAAAAATCACAGTGTGGCATTGGCCCCTTGGGTATTGGACATGCAATACGCGAATCCCAACTGTGGCAGCCGGCTAATTGTTAAATAACTGGGGGACAGTGCTGATGGGTGAATATCTTTAGGCTGGGACTTCAGTGAATCCTGATGGAGCCAGGTGTACAACTCCCTTTCACTTTAATGCAGTTTTCTCTCCTAACTCCCCTCCGTTGGGCTCCTGTTAGAACTCCAGACATGATCTCCTTACATTATTTCACCTCTGATTTATTCACTTCAGTGGTGATGTTTTCTGAACTGTGCCATTAACAAAAAATCTTGTGAGACTGTGGCAATAAAATTACTTGTTTCAGTTGTTTAATATGAGAAATTTCTGAATTCACTGGTAAGTGGCAAAAGCTTCCATAGGTCAGTGGGGGAAGGGGAAAACTAAATGGTCACTGAAGAATCATTCCTATCCAGAAGAAATTCATGGCCCATTCCGAAAGCTGATCACCCTTCGTTCCAGTGCTTCACCCACATTCAGAGTGTTCTCTTGTGTAGTTTCACTGTTCGCACTGGAAGAATGAAATTAACTAGGTTCAAGGAGTTTTCAACCACACATTGTGACTGAGTCAGGCCAGAAGAATACGGGAGAGTGGTGGAGGGGAAGTATATTAGCCCTAGATTGAGTAAGTCTCTGTTCCCAGGGTAAACTAACAAGAGCTAGTCCAGAACCAGCAGGAACTTGCCAGAATCAAGCAGGGCAATTTAGCACATGGAGCCAATTAGGAGGTTTCCAGAGTCAAGTAAATCAGACCAGTCAGAACACCTGGGACCAATTAAGAACCAGTTGAGACTGGTTAAAAAGAGCTCCTCTGCATTTAGCTCAGGGAGGAATTTGAGGAGAGCAGGGGCTGAGGAGAGTCTGAGAGGAGACAGTGAAAGCAGGTACCATGTGGTAAGGAAGGTGCTGGGGAACACTGTGGTATAAGGATTTGTAGATGTCATGAAGTTGTTACTAGAGACATTAACAGACAGCTGCTATCACTGGGTCTCTGGGCTGGGATTGGGAGTAGAGGGTGGGCCTGCCCTCTCCCCTCCCACTCCCCCCCACACCCCCCAGGGGCTGTACAAACATAAAACAAAAGTGATAGAAATGTAGCCGTGTTAGTCTGGGGTAGTTGAAGCAAAATGCAGGACAATGTAGCACTTTAAAGACTAACAAGATGGTTTATTAGGTGATGAGCTTTCATGGGCCAGACCCACTTCCTCAGATCAAATAGTGGAAGAAAGTAGTCACAACCATATATACCAAAGGATACAAAAAGAGCTTGCAAGGTAAGTATAAGATAAAAGATGGACACACAAGCAGATGGGAGTACAGGGAAACTGAGGTAGCATGATAGGCTGTATATATTCTGGGGATGGATTTTTAATTACTGTAAAGTAGAATGTTCTCTCTCAGAAACAGATAGTTTTGCAATTCAGCCACTTGAAAAAAGGGGCCAAAGAACATCTAGTCTGAGATTTCAAATGGTGAGGTTACTGTGGTGTTAAAAATCTTTTTTTTGATCAGTTTTTAGAAGGTTATATAAACCTGTTCTTGTTCAGTAGCTATGGTAACTTTTACCCTGGAGACATTTTTTGATGTGTAGTTTAAGTCTGTAAATGAAACCAAAGTGGTAAAAATATTTCTCACTGTTTTTCATTATTACACATTTTTATTAGGGACACACAATTTAAAAGTCATAACATGGGGTGTAATACTCTTAGTTTTGGAAAATATCAACAGTCTTAACCTTGTTAGAGAAGATTTCTTGCATTTCAGAGTGTTCAGGCTGGAATAGACTTGAAAAATCAGTGTATCAATTGTATTAACTAATTCAGCCATTGTGTTTTCATCCCTCCCCTCCTCCCCCTTTCACTCCCTGGGCTTTTCTCCCTGAGGGCATACCTGTGCTGCAAAGAAACCCCAAGCACCCCTCTAGCAGCGAGTTTGAGAGCCCAGGTTAACGGACTAGTACGGCTACCCCTCTGTGATTCAGGCCTGTGGGGCTTGAGCTACGAGGTTAAAATAGCAGCATAGAGCCCAAGTTCTGAAACTTGGTGCGTGGGTTTGGAGCCAGAGTCAAAGTCTGAAAATCTACATGGTCATGTAGTGGAAGCCCAAATCAGTTGACTTGATTTCTCAGACTTCCTTTGCAGTGTAGGTGTACCCTTAGGAGCAAGTGGAAAGCAGGGGAGGGGAGGGAGGGTCTGTCCTAGCTAATGTCCTCCTCAAGATGCGCTGTCATCTTTTAGCAGTCCATTAACACTAACTCCACATAATAAACCATCTTGTTAGTCTTTAAAGTGCTACATTGTCCTGCATTTTGCTTCCACATCTCCTTTGCAATGAGCAGTCTGAAGCTTACTCACCACTGTGGTGGTGCTGGCAGCAGCTTGCGGCTTTAGAACTTCTTTTTCCTGCAAATTTGCCCTGCAATATGGAACAGACTTGTGTTTTCCAAGCTCAGAAAGGGCTGGCATGGTGGCAGCCGGCTGGCATGATGATGGCCGGCCAGCTGTTTTAGGGCATGATCCAACAAACTGCTGAGCAGTTGCAAATTTTAGACCCTTGTTTTCCAGAAGGCTCATAGCTGTGTGTTTGCTACTCGAGTACTGGCACTTCATTTGGAGCTGCAGCATGAGTGTGCTTAGGTGTCTAGTTAGATTTTGGCCTTTCTTGCCTGGCACAGGCTGCGCCAAGAAAGTGGATTTAGGGCCTACTTTTTAGATCATTTGATTTCACGTCAACTGTTGAGAAGAAAAGAGGTGTCCAAGCTGAAGTCCTGCTGCTTTTCAGTTTTGCGCAAGGGGTTTTTGTGCAAAAACAAGCAGCGCGGACATTTCCTTACTGTGCAAAAAGGGAGGGAAAAAGCTCTCACGCTGCTTGTTTTTGCGCAAAAACCCCTTGCACAAAAACGGCTTGGAATAGATTAGCATATTGTTGCACTTCATTTGCATAATTGGCACTTCATTTGCATTGCCTCTTCCAGCAAAAGCCATAGTGTAGACAAAGCCTGAGCCTCAGTTTCCTCACTTGTAAAAAATGGAGCTGACGCTCTTGACCTGCTGTATAAGAAGTGGGTGCTGCTATCAGAAGACGTGTATGTCTTCTCGTACTGAACCTTCCAAACATGTCCCCCTCAACCTTCGTTAGGGCAAGTTCAGGTTGATTTTGTTGTTGTGCTGCTTATGGGACAGGTTTGGGCTGTAGGCAGGCTAATTGCAGGACACCATATCTGCTTACAACCACTCAGTGAGACTTTGGCACACCAGAGTACCGTGACTGAACATCCAGGTGTCTGTCTAGATCTGAGTGCTAAACTATGCTCTCTTCTCTGACTGCAGCCATGGGGATAGACAGACGGCTTTTTGCTTTTGTGCACGCGCAAGTCCAGGGACAAGCCTTTGTGGCCGAATGGGAGACGTTGGGTCTCAAGATCGAACCTCACTGTTATCCTGCCTCTTCCTCCCTTCCCCAGCAAATCTGACGTGATCTTGCCGTTTGGAGAAACCAGCGCTTTAGATGTGCCACTTCACGCGGGATGGAAGCTTGGAATCTTTGTTTCCAAATTGCAAGCTCCCGCTCCTGCTCTTCAGGAGAGCTCAGCTGCTAAACCGGTTTTGGAATAGAAGTAATTGGCAGAAGGCATGGTCAGAAATAGGATCATGCCTGGCATGGCATGAGAGCCAGCATCTGAACGAAAACCAAGGCTGTATGCGGCTGAGTGGCCCGGCTTCCTAATGGTGTCAGCAGTCATATTGGAAGAGTCATGTGGTTGGATTATCAAATTTGTGCTACACCGTCAGTCTAGCGCATAGGTTCCCAGACTGGGGGGCGTGACAAAATTCCAGGGAGGTGCGAGGTGACCCAACCTCCCCCCAAGACGTGACGAAATTCCAGGGAGGTGCGAGGTGACCAAACCTCCCCCCAAGAAAAAGCCCAGTTCGTCCAGTAAAAAAATTCAGGGAAGGGTGGAGTGTCCTGGGTAGACTTCAAAAGACCCTCCGCCTGCTCTGCTCTTAAAATGGCAACTTTTTTTTTCTCAACAAGTTTTGTTGCTATTTTGAGGGTAGAGGGGGTGGCGTGAGGGTGTCTCAAAAAT